TCTGTATAGCACATGTCAGTGTTTAAAGTAAAGGTCACTTTTGGAGGCTCAAGGAGAGCATGAATTGGATTGCCCAAGATTGGGAGACCAGTCAAGTGAGCTACATCTAAGATGGTAGGGGAAATCATGCCAAAATTGAGGAGTAGGGAGTTACAAGATTGCGACCAAAAGCATGCAGCAGCAGCAATCAGCCCTTTGTCCATGTCATAATTTTTAGTTGATAGTCTAATTGCTTCACTAATGCCCCAGTGCTTCCATACTTCAGTGTCGTGACCTTCAATTCTCTTGGCCTAGCTTCGCCAAACAGAGTCTGGTGACCTCCACGATCTGAGTGGGTTTTTTGTTAACATTCCAGTTAGTCCACTTAAGTCCAGGTTGGTTGAGAAGAAGGTTCTCACCATTACCAAGGGGATAGTATGGAGCTAGCTCGTCTGGGAAGTAAGACGCGAAGGTAGGACCTAGAGTAGCCTTAGCGACAGAGCTTGTGCTGGGCAATAGGGTTGCGCCAAATCTTAGAGGAGCGATACGCGCTTTGATAGGGTCTGGGAAGCGGAGTAGGTCTTCATTGTTCTCCTCAGATGGAGATGGTTGAGATTTTTTCGGCGCTATGGCTTAGGGTTTTGTGGTGCTCTGGTTTTGAACGGCAATGCTTGAGAAGAAGGAGTACAGTCTGGGGAGTTCGAATTAGAAGGAAATGAAGTGGTTTGAAGTTGAAAAGGTGGGTCTTTTATAGCTTATGATGGGGCCAGTATATTTAAATGCTCTTATATTGGGCTGTAGTTTATGTTTGTTTTGGGCCCGTATTAAGAAATTTGCTATTGGGCCACCTTGTTGAAGTTCAATATCATATGACTTGGACCCTCACAAAGGGGGCACCCCCATGACCCCCTCTCTCTCTGATTGGCTAATTTTTTTTTTTAAAAAAAATTCTTCTTTTTTTTCCCTTCTCACTGCAATCACCAGCCCCCACGTGTGTGGATGTGGGGGGTGGGTCGGGTGGTGGTGCAGGTGGTGATTGGAGAGGGTCTCAATAACTTCCGCAAGGTTAATTCATATGATATTTAACTTGAAATTGGAGGGGGTCTCAATAAAGGTTAATTCATATGATATTTAACTTAAAAAAGGGGGCCATTGTTTGCACCAAGTCTTGCCAGTCTCTGTCGACAGATGGTCCACTTAATCGAGGACACGTGGCAAAGTTTGAAGGAATGTCCACCACTTGAAAGTGGGCTCTCTGCATGCGGGTCACCTAGAAGTGATGGGGGAATTTTTTAGCACCAGTCATGGAGTTAGTGGGCACACTTTCAGGAGGAAGCATGAGACAAAGCAGGAGCCTTGCTCTGTCGACAGAAGTTTTAAACAGTTGGTGGTCATGAAATAAACACAAGAAAAGGGAGATCGACAGATAGAAGTGGAGATTTAGCATACTTGGAAAGCCTAGAAGGGAGATCGTTGGTTTTGATATCTGTATACTGTTTTTGTGACCCATCATTGCATGATCCCACACGTCTACACCATAACTGCCGCTGTAACTGCCCCCTGACTTCGAATCTTCAAGTCCACTCTGCCAAATATTGACTCTTGCCTGCCGACCTTCCTTTTCACCATTGTGGGGCATGTCCCTTATCATTATGAGTTAGTGGGCACACTTTCAAGAGGAAGCATGAGACAAAGCAGGAGCCTTGCTCTATCGACAGAAGTTTGAAACAGTTGGTGGCTATGAAATAAACACAAGAAAAGGGAGATCGACAGATAAAAGTGGAGGTTTAGTATACTTGGAAAGTCTAGAAGGGAGATCGTTGGTTTCGATATCTGTATACTGTTTTTGTGGCCCATCATTGCATGATCCCACACGTCTACACCATAACTGCCCGCTGCCTTCGAATCTTCAAGTCCACTCTGCCAAATATTGACTCTTCCCTGTCGACCTTCCTTTTCACCATTGTGGGGATGTCCCTCATCATTATGAGACAAAAATCGATAGAATATTGTCCACTAAACACAACTACAATCCTTGCAAACTAGGCCACTGAACCACAACACTTGGCCACTCACTGTTACTGCCCCTGACTTTGAATCATCAAACTCTGGCAAATATTGAATTTTCCCTGTAATTTAATCCAAATATATTCAATGTCGGTAAACTTGAAAATATGTTTGAAATAACCTTTTTCTGTATTGTAATGACTTAAACACAATTATTGTCCTACATTTTACGTAACCAAAATACACAACGTATTTATATCAAAAACAAAATATACGTCTCGGGTTTATAATCAAAAAAATGGAAACTACTTTTTTTTTTTTTTATAAAAAGTTCACTCATATTTTCAGCTAAATTATGATTGGTTATTTTTAAAAAATTCATCTTTGCACCTATTTTCCCCATATCCTGCCAACAGCTGCACCATTCAATTGAGGACACATGACAAGTCTACCTGAAGACAAAGGTTATCAACTAACATTGAATCTTGCATGCCACCTGATTTACACGCTGGAGCAGTTACTGGCAGTGCTCATGGATTTAGTGGCTAGCCTGCAAGAGGAAACGTGAACAAATTAGGAGTCTGTATCTGTCGAGGAAAGGCTAAAAAGACTTGGGCACAGGTGGCAACTTCAATTATATGCACTTCGACAGGTACAAGTGAAGGTTTTATGTGGTTTCAAGACATAGAAATGACCGTGCAGTTACAAAAGTTGCACAGAAGCAGTTGCAGATCATGGGGTTGTGGGAAATAATAGCTATAAAGGGCAAAATGTTTGCAGAGAGAGAGGACATGAACAACAACACAACAACTTACTTTCTACATTGCAACTTCTGAGTAGTTTTTTCCCTTCTACTTTCTACTTTGTTACAAACAACACAACGGCACAACAACTTACTTTCTACTTTCTACTTTGTACTTTGTTACTTTCTACTTTGTTACCATCTGTTCATCGAAAGAAGTCTTCATCCTTTTCAGGCATTCGAACCAATACCACAATTGCTTGATTTTCTTCTTTAACTTGTTAACTTTAAATTACTGCTTCGTTGCTGTCGATATAGGCCGACCATAATTTTACTAACAATAAACCCATCACTTTCATAATTAACATGAAATAATTTCACAACTCCTGTTCGTTACTCATAATTCATATAGCAATCGGTATGGAGATAAAGTAACGAGTTCGTTGGGTTACTTTCTCCAAGTAACACCCAAAATTAACTGTCATTTGGATTATATACAAATGCATGTGCTGGTATGTAATTTTGCAAACCCACATGGACAAAATTCGTATTTTACTCGAAATATAATACTAATTTACCGAAACAAGTCATAACAAATCAATACGAAGCCAAACGCATCGTTAGTTAATAAACCACACCGCAAAAAACCCTTCAGTTAGATCCAACCAAATATGGAACAGAAACAAACAACTCGCAATAGGAATCTTGGAATACAGACATAAGCCAATTTCCCACCCAAAACAATACATAGACAACCCATATATATCTCACCTTCAATTAGTGTTCAAATTCACAAGTCACTACAAACACAAATGACAATATCACTCTAAACAATATGGGAAATTTACAACTCGTGGCCTTGTACATAAGTAACGTTCTGCCATTTCTTGACATTGTACGTAACCAATTATTTACACGTTACGTACAGCAATCCGTGCAAAATGAAAACTACATACATTATTTACATGTGTTTTCAATAGCTAGTACTGTCTACCTAATAGATTAAGGGAATAAGTAAATCATACAAGTTATACAATTACCTGATTCACCTCATCAATTGTGGTCGAATCATTTTTGCACACTGTTGCTTCAACACTAACATATTGGCCCACGGGCTGCTTGGAATCAGGAGAAGCATCGAAAAATAGTCGCCGTTGCTTAATGTGCGGTGTACTTGGATCCACCAACCCAAGCGAACGGGCAATGACTCCGCATTGTACTCACGGTCAGTTATGTGGCCTGTATCTGCATTTGAGTTACTACCCACTGTTCGGCTAAACCGAACCTTAGGACACGTTCGCTTTGTGTGCCCAATGCATTTGCAATTCCCACATTTTCTTGGTCTTTGACAGTTGGACGAGGCCCGTCCCGGGTTCCCTTTTGTCTTCACAACATTCGGATCTTCTACTCCAAATTGTCGAGGGAATGAATGTTTCCCTTTGTCTCCATTCCCATCGTTCAGATTCCTCTCATATAACTCCTTCATTCGGCTCGTCATCGGAAAACATGCATCCCTAGCCTCTTTGAAACCTTCCGTTGATTGCGAGGCATAGAAACACATTTCATTGTAGGAAGAACTCAATATCCCATACCGGATTGTTTGTGTTGTAGTGCTATCAATTGAGGGTTGAGGCCATTGCTGGCCATCCTTGCTTGCAGCCCTTGTCTATCTATGCAGCACACAAGTTGGGGGAATTTACGTTAAATTTTCGGCTTTTATAACACATATCATATGATAGCAAGGTAGCCCCAACAACTCAAACTTCATGCAAGAACATCTCATTGCAGCATCCACTGGACTGTATGTTACTATCCATGATCTATCCTTCAATTTGTACTTATGAATATAGCAGCATTCCTGACCATCCGGCAAAGGGAACACGTCCTTGACATTCAACTTCCCCTCTTCTAAGATTTCATCATGGAACATTCTAAATATATTTTGGGTGAATAGCTCAGCTTCATGTCTCTCTATATCTCGCAATGGAGTAATCAATACCGGAAAAGTGTTATTTGTTTCAGCATTATCTCCAGCCTCGTTATACCTTATCCTTGCAAGAGCCCGATCATAATGCCTAACAAATTCATATAGCTTCAATTTGTGTTGGAGGAAGGGATTAAAATAAGCATTCATACACTCCGAGCGCTGAGTGCTCTTTATCCCAGCAAAGAAATGTCCACGCATATATGCCTCAGCCCACATATGACGCTTCTCATATGTCTCCAACACCTAACTGTTTGTTTGAAGTTCAAATTTTTTGACCATTGTCGTCTAGCCTTGCTCAAAGTTTGTCTCATCCATTTCCATGTCCATGCACTGCTTGAAAGCATGTGCAAAGCCATTTATGTGAACATTTGAAACAGCATTTTTCCCAAGATGCCAATTACATAATCGATGTCTTGCGTCTGAAAATACTCTTCTGAATGCCTCTCGCATCGCCTTATCCCCATTTGTCAGTACAGACACAGGTGCTTTATTGCCCATCGCCTCCATAAATGTTTCCCAGACCCATATGTATGTCTCACTTGTCTCATTAGCTAGAAAAACACATGCAAATATTGTGGTCCTAAAGTGGCTAATCACACCAGCCAACATGACAAAAGGTTTCTTGTATGCATTGGTTCTGTAAGTTGAGTCAAATATCAACACATCACCAAACTTTGCGTAGTCGGCCCACGATTTCGAATCTGCCCAAAACAGATTTTGTAACTTGTTATCGTTACACACATCATACTTGTAAAAAAAACGTGTATCAACATCAAGTTTTGCACATAGGTAAACCAACGCACCCTGTGCATCACCATCCTGAACTTCTGCTTTGCGTTCGGCTTGAATATGGTTGTACAGATCCATACGGATGAAACAAACATTCTCATAAGACCCGGATTGATTTATCATATAGTCCATGATTTGGCTAGTCTTCACACCGACGTTGCACATAGCCATTGCTTGAGCTTTGTCAATGCTGTTTAAACTGCGATGTGACCTCAGATACATCACACAGTGTTGTTCTGCCAATTCATGGTTGTGGTCTGCGACGAAGTGAGTCACAACATACTTTCCCCCTTCACCAGCATCTGCATTGTACCGTATGCGAAATTGGGTTTTGCAACCTACTCTTGTTAGTGCCTTGGGAGCTCTACTCTTCTCAGCATCACGGTCCAAGTATTTTGGTAATCTCTGACCTTCCCTTGAACACAACCACAGCCTACTAACGACCTTTCCCTCTTTGTTTGTGTTAAATTTGGATTTTCGTATACTAAATCCCTTGGCTTTAGCATACGCATTGTAGAAAGCTTCTCCATCTTCGACCGAATCAAATTTCTGTTTCAGAATAGCATGTTCAACATCACCAACCATGTCATTGCGATGAGCATCGTCAACCATTTCTTTTTTCACATCGACTCCGTCATCTTCAACGTTCATATTGGTTGCTTTTCCATTGCTCAGACCAGCTTCGCAACCATGATAAGGTTCCGCCCGACTTTCATTCATCAAACGAATGTCATCTGCTTTATTTGGAATGTCATAATCATCACCTTCTCTTTTAACTTCCGCTGGGGCCATACTGCACATGACATTAGTACAAACAATTACTTGATGGCCGAAAAATGTTAACACAAACACAAACATGACATTTTCACATGGTTTAGTTGTTTGTGCAAACACAAACACTCGCTTGAGAAAGAGAAAGGTTAGTTGCCAATGGAGGGGTTTCTGTTTGAGCGAAGCGTAGAGCAGTTGAAGTTAGGATGGGGGTTTAGTTGAGGGAAAATTGCTGAAGTGAAGAGGCCAGAGAGACAGAGAGGGATACAGAGAGAGGGAAACAGCTCCATACCTTATATCTAGTTAGAGAGAAGGGCTTCACTTCAGTAATGGAACCAACACAGCCTTGTACTTCCGTTGTTGTTGGAAATCGCCCGTTATACTATTCCCTACAGAGCTTTGTCAATGGAACCAACCCAGCAGGGGCTTCTTGCTGTTAATGGAAATCAAGGGTTACACTAACTCAACCTTACATAGAGAGTGAGTGGAATGCAATCATGCAATACAAGCATTAACCGGTTGCCTCGGTTTCAACTTTTTCACGATTAAACAATTCAATGGTCTTGATCAATTATTGTAATCTAACGGCTAACAATTGGGTTGCATATGGTGTGCAACCTTAAGGGGGTTGCACACTTAAACAAAACCCTAAAATTATATCAATTTATAATAAAGTGCATATGAAATGTGTACCATAGAATTTTCCTAATTACTAATGGCCTGTTGAAACTATAAAAAATTATAATTTTCTTTTCTAAATTTCATCTGAAAAATTATATGAGAGAAGCAGTTATAAGTATGAGGATATTTTATAAAACAAAAAAAGGTGTGACAATTTATACCAACTCAAATATAAATTTTATATAGTAATTAATTGAGTTTTGACTTTTTAATTTAAAAAAAATAAAAAAAATAGAAATATAACATAACCCAAAAAAATTTTTAAAAATTTAAAAAATTAACTTTTAATCTAATTACAAGACAAAGAGAAATACACTACTATGGCACAAACGTAAAAATTGATTTTTGTTTAAGATTTATAAAATCAAATAAAGAATTTTAAAAGACTGCTTTGATTCTTTTCACAAGGCATTCTTCTTTTGCTTTAGGTGGGGTTGTCCTCTATCCAATTCGAGTGAGAAGTGGTGTGGTCCAGCAGGGCTAGATGTTAAGACAGCTAATCTAATTGCTTTTATGTGGGTCGTTAGTAGGAGGGTAAAAAAGGAGGGTAAAAATGGCATGTGGTCTGTCACGATCCAATTCCAGGGATTTAGGATTAGAATCGCAACTTACTAAATAATTCTAATCGTAACAAATTAAATGGCGCATGAGAGGGTAATTTATATGTAAATTGGGCCGAGCTGGGTAATGTGTGTAGACACCCCATTTTTGACCGTCCTCAAGACTTGGACGTCACCGTTTGAACACTCGGTGATCATCCATGTTTGTGTTCGTTTGGAGTTCCCGGAGGCCTCGGCTCGCGCGCCTTGCCTCAGGATCCCCGAACTCGGCTGTTTAGTGTCTGGTTTTGCACCAAACACTTTTGTTTTGCCTTAGAGGGGCAGGGAATGCCTTGTGAGACATCCCCATACACCACCGGCAGTGGCTGGAGGCCACCGGCTGGTCTTTTTCTTCCATCGGCAATTTTGTTTGCCGGTCGGCACACTGTATTGCCGGTCGGCATAATATGTTGCCGGTCGGCACTGTTTTTTGCCGGAATAGCTTTTTTGGGCAGCCGACCACTGTTCCTCCACTTTTTGGAGATATTTTGTGCCAGCTGTGATAGCTGGCACCAACTCCTTTCCCCTCCATACACGTGTATGGAGGGATTTCCCTCTAGCCAAGCTTGTTGAATAAGCTTTGCAAGAGGGATCCTTATAAGAGAGAGGCTTTCCTCTTGGTTCTAGGTTAGAAAAACAGAAGCAAAAACCAGCCTTTGAGATATAGATACATATTATATCTATACCTCTCTCCCTCTCCCTTCTTGTGTGTGTTTCTTGGCCCAAAAGGTGTGTTTTACCTTACATTTCAAGCCTCCACACCTAGATCAACCAGAGGCGTCTGGGAAAGATAATGAAGCAGAGAAACAA